CTATTTGTTTGCTTCGTAGACTTCGAAAAGGCATTCGACAGAGTAAAGTGGACAATATTGTTTGAGATATTAAAGAAAATTGGCATAGATTGGAGAGACAGAAGACTCATTGTGAATCTTTATATGCTGCAATCGGCAGTGGTAAGAACAGAAAACGGAGACACAGAACCGGCAGAAATCGGACGCGGAGTTAGGCAAGGTTGTTTACTATCGCGAATGGTTGCAGATTCGGAAGAAGGATTACAACGATTGATGGACGCATTAAGCGAAATAGGAAAACAATACGATATGAAAATCAATGTGAAGAAGACAAAGGTTATGCGTGTCTGCAGAAAAGGAAGCAAGAAGGAAGGTGGCAATCCGGTGAACATTACGATAGATGGACAGGTTGTTGAGCAAGTGAATCAGTTCCGTTACTTAGGATCATTGATTTCAGACGACGGCACATGTTTAGCAGAGATTAAAAGTAGGATCGCAATGGCCAAGAAAGCATTCAACAAGAGAAGAGAACTGTTAACAAAGCGAATGAGCACGAAGCTAAAGAAGAAAGTAATAAAGACAGTGGTATGGAGTGTTGCATTATACGGTTCGGAAACATGGACGAATTGGTTGAACGAAAAAGATAAGTTGGAGGCATTTGAAATGTGGACGTGGCGAAATATGGAAGGAATAAATTGGAAGGACCACGTAAAGAATGAAGAAATGTTGAATAGAGTCGATGAAAAAAGACAAATACTAGACGTCATCTTAACAAGAAAAAAGAGGTGGCTCGGGCACATATTGCGACGAGAAAGCCTAGTGAAAGACGTATTGGAGGGTAGATTCGAAGGTGAAAGAAGACGTGGAAGACCTCCAGCGATGATGCTAGACGATATTCTAGGGAATGAGTCCTATGCAACCATAAAACGTCGCGCAATGGATAGAGAAGGATGGAGGAAATGGATGCCTCGAACCTGCCCTAGGGCAGAACACTAGTGATGATGATTAAAATTTGATGTTTTGTCTATAGATGTGTACGTCAAAATTTTTACATATTCGGAAACAGTCATTGTAGAGAAAATACTCTTTCTCTGATAAGTCGGAAGAACTGGAGAATTTAAAACTTCTCTGAGAATTCTCAGCCTATATTAAGGTAAAATATTAAAAAGTTATTGTATCACAACTAAAAGTTCATAGAGTGTCTACAGACAAGTTGGTCAAATGAGCTTACAAAACGTTCCGTGAGCGAATGAAGCATCCTGCCAAAAAGCAGTCACGAACAAAGAAATTAAGCTATGGTTTTTATCTTATATTCGGATTCCATAATCAAATCTGGGTTTCAGTTACGTGAAAAAGCACTATAGAATGCCGTTAGATGTCTTATTTTGCTTAGAATTCTTCGCTCTATCAGGTTATATGGTTTGCAACATTTTCTGACCAAAAACTAAGGACTTGCTTTTCCAGCGGTCGGGTTTTCTAGAAGATCTATTATCCACTTTTCTCATGCCAGGGCGACACGCACCTCATCTGATACAAAAATCTTCAGGCTACTCAAAACATTATTTGGTTCCAGCTTTTACTAAAAAGTCAAAAACAAGAGAGTTCTTATGATTATGACACACTGTACTGCTTAGATAACACCCAAAAGCTTGCCTCCCATATCTTTACTGATTGACTTCACTTGTCTGGATATTGTGGCAGCTCAATTCATACTTTTTCGTCATGGCAGAAAAACGACTAACAGAGTGTTCAAAGCACTAAGGTAGGTGAAAATCCTTATACCGGCCAAGTATTCCAACTATTGCCCAATGTGGACATATTTTTAAAAGACTTATTTACAGCCCATTTCGAAGCTCGTGAAATTCTCTATCGAATGATATATGAAATGCAGTGGTTAACGAGACAATAAGTCACCATTATAAATATGAACGATGTTGACCTACCGGCTTCCTAGGATGCTACGGAGTATTGCGGATATTAGAGTACACAATTACATTTTCTTAAGGCTAGCTCATATATCATTCTGTAGCTCATGAAATTCTCTATCGAGCGATGTATAGCAGTTGATATTTGCTCGGGGGGTGAGACATTAAGAGCGTGATTAAGAGAAGCATTTCAAAGCAAGCTCAACGGAATTTTAACAAGATACCCAGTTATTGAGGTTTTAGTTGATGGTCTTAAATCTTGTCCTGGTCGAACAATAGCACATCCACTAACATTTATGATGAGAACGGCGTTAAAGCGAATATAACAATGCAACTGTTAGAAAAAATTCTACAGGATGTATTTGGAGAAGAAGAGCACCACGGTTATGAAATAGTGATCAATTGTTTATCAGATCTTGCTAATAAATTAGATGAAGAGTTGTTTATCGATTTGCAAAAGAAATAGTTTGTGTCTTCCTGTTTAGATAAAACCCTTCTCAATACAAGCATAAAAGTAGAAGGAATTTTGTTTGGTTTTCCTTCTGTATTTTTGTTTGTTTGCGCTTCTGTTTATTACTACGCGATATTTATTCTCCTTTTCGCAGTTAACACTTTTATGAATGTGGAGCACTCGCTTGTGACCTAAAAAGTCTTTCTGCTTACTTCTTTCTTAATAGAATTTAGACTGGTGCCTTGAGACAAGCTCAACTCGCCTGAACCGTTTTTCATACTCAGTAGGGGTTCGATTGAATTGGGAGCTGAGAGAATCGAAAATAAATGTTATTTGTTCCAACAATGACACGTGACATCAAAAACTACGATCCACAGATCGTCGTTAATGCGCACAATAATGCTATTCATGAATCGGTAACTCAAACGGCGCATGCTGCGGCCAACACGTCAAAAAGAAAGCAAGTACGCGTGCAGAAATAATAGATTTAGCGTATTTTTCGCTAAGCAGCACCTCAAGCACTAGCCACAATCTTCTCAAGAGCAACCAAGCGCACAAGAGCAGCGCTGTAGTAGTCATCAACGTGTGTAAATAAAAGATCAATAAAAAGCAAGCTGTGTCATTGCTGAGAAAAGTCATTTTTTCTAAGTTAGAGGCGAAAAAGGCAGAATTGTGTCCGTGATTCTCAATTTTCTTCAACAGAACTCAATAAAGTATCCTGTTTGGATCAGGATCAAAAACCGAACCGAGTGATGTGTATTTAGAATGGTTTAGTTGATTTTAAATTTTTGGTGAAAACCTCGATGATTTTTCAACGTGAAAATGCGAAAGTTATGCCAGTTTTTCCGCTTTTTAAAACTTAATTTTCAGGAAAGCACAACTTATACATCGATTTGTTCGTGGAATAGATTTTGGAAAATATATAAATTCGGGTTCTACAGACAAACTGTCTCACAGCAGACATTAGAAATGCTCACCTAAACTATCTGAAGTGCTGAAGTAGGATGTGCGTGGTGAATGTGGGAGTGCAGTAGTTCGTTTTAAACAGGAAACCAAAGTATACCGATACAGCAGAACAGAGTATTACGTAAATTCGAAAATCATGCACAGAGGAAAACTGGAATCCTTTCCTTTTAATTTTTTAAACCTATGTGCCAGTGCAAATATTTAGTGTGGTTTAAAAAGAAAAACGGAATAGCAAAATGATACGAATTGTTTTTCATTCTATTTTTTGACATCTTTTGAGTGTTAGCAGTGGTATAGTACCAAATATGTCAACAAAAGAAACTACCTTTGTTCCTCATTCATCATAAGCACTGTTCGAGGAATCATCTGTGACGCAGTTAAGTAAAAAGAAAACAGTACCATATTAATAATAACAACATCATTACTACAGGTGAAAACTCAAATTTTCTTATCTGATAGTATATAATATGAAGTCGAAATAGTCCATTTCGTTTCTAACAATAATAATAAGTACAAAAATGGCTTATGTTCAACGTAACGAATACGATATTAAAAAAACTGGCCGTTCAGTAACAGTTGCCGATAATGATGTTGCAAAATGTATGTATTATCTTTCATGTATATGTAGAGTTATACATTACGAACTATACTATTCAGTTACAAGGTAATAATTTGTGAGAGTAGCTGATGAAAAGACTGAACAAAAAACATTGATTCAAGCGACACATGTAGAGTCAAACTCCATGAACATATGATCATACAATACACTGATCGTCCAAGACGATGATATTAAACGCTACTGTGATTATGATAATTATCGGAGCTTGAGTGAACAAGAACAGCGACTCGTATTTGTCTTATGTGGTACACTGAGTCCTGATTTATTCGATGATAAATGTATATTTCAAAGTGACGCATTATGCGGTGATACGGCAAATGAATTTTATGAAATTGGACAGGTAAAAAGTCAACTTTTAGCTGTTCAGTCAATTGTCATTGCCGGTCGCACTCGTCAAGTGAATAAAATTATGACTTACAAACCAATATGGATGAAGAATTATTACATTGATCCAATGTTACGTTTAGCACGACGTTTTAGTCCAGCACAAAGACAACAAGCAGCTGTAACATCACGTCGGTCAAAGTCAAGATGTATTA